CATAAGAAAACCAGGAGAATGGCAGATAGTGCGGCCTTGATTTTATTAAGTTGCTGAAATAATGCCATGAACTTTCTACCTCTTCCCTAAATTTATTTGTGTGTAAAAAAACCCCTATTTGTTTAAGTCATTACAGTCAGACTTAGTGTTATTGTCTGTGGAAAGAATTCCTAATTAACATACCTGAACTATGTGAGAGGGGAGTTGGATCTCTATTTTATAAACGCTCACTTTTAAAACTAACCCAAAGCCAGCTTTATTTTTAAGTATACCATTCATTGTGAGCTGACAATAACTGACTAAAGTAGAGGTCAAAATTTCTAAATTTTACTTACTCATTTCCAAGATCATATCTAGAGATATAAATGAGTATCCTGGAGCAATAATGAAATAAAATATTTTTTTTAAATGCTCACATTCGAAAACGGGAGAACATAATGTAAATACGCTCACGTACTCACAACCCAGGGAAGTCAAGACTTACTTGACAAATATAATACGTATCCAACGGATGATCCATTTATGTCCTTCCGTATCGACCCATTTATAGGCATTCTTTATCCCTTTATCTTATATTGAGGATATGCCATTTGACAGGTATGTGCTCAATGCCAGCGATGCCAGATACTGCTCAGTCTTTCCTTTGAGAATTTCTCTTCCAGACCGGTAGTGGAGTGTGAGAGGAGGTCATTCATATAAACAAAGACTTTTGATACTGTGAGAGAGTAAAAAGAATAGAGCAGTTAAGAGAGATTATTAGTAGAGAACAAAATGGAACATGGACTTGCCCAAATCCCCACAGCCAATAAAGTGGTACAAGTTTCATTAATTGAGGTCTTCTGGACTAGTCTTTTTATGACACCAACCATGGCCTGAAATAGATACGGTAACATCGGGATATCAATTTTTTTTTTTTTTTTACATTACGAAGATGCTATTGTTTTAGCTGTTGTTGTTACAGAAGTTGATTGGTATACAGGAATTTCCCCTAACCTATCAATATGGCGCACGCCGTAAGATTTATTTCCCCCAAGGACTCATCCTCCTTTTGACCTCTACAGAGCACCTGTTATGTGTTCTGCTAGATGTTGGGCTACAAATGTGTTTACAGTGTTGCCTGTCAGCCGGAGTCTTACTCACGTTCTCCTTGTCAACTCTCCCTTGCCACTGGTGAGGTAGCTGATTGAGCAGGGGATGTGCCCTTCACTTCTTTCTCCCAACCAAGCCAACCATCTAGAATGAAGAAAAGCAGCCTGGAAAGAGAGTAGGGAAAGAAGCAGACTTTAGAGCTTAGGAAAGAAACTCAGGTTTTTCCTTCTCTTTTAAAAAAGTGATCTTTTCTATTGACTTAAATAAAAAAACAACTTATTCAATAGCTGTCTTTCCCCTCTAACTGCTGTTGTTTAAGGAACAGACTTCCCTTACTCTGAAGTAATGTCTCCTTTCTTTAGGAAAACAGGTGTCAAAACATACAGCAAATCAAATTTTCAAACAGCTGAAATAAACTTGAGGACTTTCCACTTTTCTTTACGCTTTTACCTAGAAATGTTTTGTGAGGCTTATAATTTCCTAATTTGAAATTTCATTTTTCCTCGGAACTCTTACGGCCAAACTTTCTGAATTCTTACTGCCCCATCCCTTTCTGCTATAATAAATCACTATTATTTGGATTTGGATTTGAAAATGTATTTTTAAATAATAATAATTCACTACTGATTATTTTTTATTTAGGTGAAATATACTTAAAAGCATATAGACCCCAGGACCACACTGAATTCCGTCATATTAAACATCTTTACTAGAAAGAGAGAAAAAGAAATGGAGCTAATAATAATCAATGTTATAGGGATTGTGAACCATTCTTTATGGTCACATGTATGGTGGGGAGAATTATGATCCCATTTTACAGATGAGAAAATCAAGGTGAATAGAGTTCACTAAGCCCAAGCTCACACAGTCAGAAACAGTGAAACCTAATTCAAACTCAGTTTTTATCTAATTTCCAAAACCACACACTGTCTACATTACCACATAAT